TCTCTTCGCCTTCGCCGCCTTCCTCCCAATAGGCCTCGGCTCTTTTTCGATAGGTGATTCTTGACTCATCGGGGAATCCATAGGTGAATTTGATGTCGGTGTCTCATAGAGTGGCATCTCGTTCAACACTATCGTTGAACCCGTTAGAATAATTTGGAATCTCTTACAATTCTTCACCACCTCCCAACATAGGGTATGGTTGAAACTTTTTTTCCCTTGCCCAGTAGCACCAAAAAACATTTGTGCTTGCATAATCTATACACCAAAAAAAAAAAAAAAAAAAAAAAAAGGAAAAAGCAAAAAACTATAAAATATTGGCAATGCAACAAGTATAAAATAAAAAATAAAAATAAAAAATAAAAAGGAAATACAAGAAACTAACAAAAATATTGGCAATGCAACAAGTATTAAAAAAATTAATGGAAACACAAGAAACTTTAACCATTTATTAGAAATGCAAAACAAAATATAAATATTGCAAGAAACATTCATATTAATATTGGAAATACAAGAAATATTAACATAATATATAAATTGCAAGAAACATTTAAATAAAATATAATATGACATAGAAATTAATAAAGAAAAAAATTACAAATAATTTACCTCACTGCTAAGGTTTTGCCCGCTTCTATGGTTGTTCATCGCTTTTGTCAAGGCATCTCTCCACTTTCCCAACTCTTTATTAAGAATTTTCCACCTACTAGATAATGCTTGATCCGTACGGGTCGAACCAATTACCCTTTCACAAAATTCCTGATGAATTTTTTTCCACATATGACAGAATTTGATCTCATTGCCCGTTACGGGACAATGACTAACTTGGAGCCAAGCCTCACACAAGCTAATATCTTCCGTCATGCTCCATGCCCCTCCTCCGGTTTCACTAGAAGAACCCATAATATGATAGAGAAAAAAACAACTTGAAAGAGAGAAAAAAACAACTTGAAAGTGAAAAAAATTTGACTAGAAAGTGAAAAATAGTAGAATAAGAAGAAAATATATGAAGAGTTGGTGTTAAAAGTGAAGAGTATTGGTTGGTATTTATAGAAAAAAAATATTCAGTATTTTTTTCGTATTTTTTTAAATTTTTTCTGATTTTTTTTCAATTTTTTTTTTTTGGACAAAAAATTGTCTGCCGTTGGATTGCTGAAAAAAACTAATCGGAGAGCCCAGGAGCTTCTACGTGGCATAGAGTCGTTGGGGGTTGCTTTTTTCGATTTTTTTATTTGCGAAAAAAATGGCTGCCGTTGGATAAGTTTAAAAAGCAGATCGGAAGAAGAAAATATATGAAGAGTTGGTGTTAAAAGTGAAGAGTATTGGTTGGTATTTATAGAAAAAAAATATTCAGTATTTTTTTCGTATTTTTTTAAATTTTTTCTGATTTTTTTTCAATTTTTTTTTTTTGGACAAAAAATTGTCTGCCGTTGGATTGCTGAAAAAAACTAATCGGAGAGCCCAGGAGCTTCTACGTGGCATAGAGTCGTTGGGGGTTGCTTTTTTCGATTTTTTTATTTGCGAAAAAAATGGCTGCCGTTGGATAAGTTTAAAAAGCAGATCGGATGGCCCAGCATGCGACACGTGGAATCATGCCGTTGGGCGGCTACTGTAGCGCACGTCAAATTTTTTTTAAATGGGGCCCGTGTATTGCACGCGCCAGCTTTAAAAAAATTTAAACAACAGCGCTGACGTCATCACAGCCCGCGGGCTGGAGCTCGGGCTAGCCTCCCCCTCGGGCTTGCCCAGGTTTGTGGGCCCCACTGCTTGCCCTGGCAGCTTCTTGTTGCTGGAAACCACATTTTGGGTTTGCCCCCAACCCTCCCCTTGGGCCCCTTGCTGCCAATGCTCTAATATGCCAAAAATTATAGACGAGGAGTTAAGTAAGTGGCTCCGATGGTGATTGAGGACCTCTCTAAGTCCCCACTCTTCCTCTGTTTCTCTTTGCCAAAACAGAGCTTGCTTGCTCGAAACCATTGAAACAATCGCAACCCAAATGAGATTTAAATACAAAAATTAAAACCTATCGAAAAACTTAATATTTTCTTTAAAATTTTGACGCTGCTAGAAGCAGTCCACAAAGCAACCAAAAAAAGGAGAGAGGGTGGGGTTGGGCGTAGGTTGCGGGTGGAGATGGGGGCAATTGGGTTGCGAACAAGAAAAAAATAGAGGGACAGGGAGAGCACATGGAGGAGAAAGGGAGAGCACATGGAGAGGGGGAGAGAGGGGGGGCAGAGCCGTAGAGGGGAAGAGACGAAGCAGAGCTGCAACTTAAAAAAACCAATTTTAAATGTGAAACTATTTTTTTAAAATATTTTTTTTGTATTTAAATCCACGTGGCAATTATCTCATTGGATATACGAGCATCATATACATGCCACATCACCAATTTAACAAAAAATTTGATGGAACTTAACATCATGAACCAAATTGATGTATGAGATGTAACATAAAGGACCAATAATATAAGAAGAAGAAAAAAATATAAAGAAATGATAATTTTGCAAACCTCAAAAATAATTTGTGATAAAAATTCATATTAATTAATAATGCAAGAAAAGAAGGAGAAGACCAAAAACATGAGAAAAGTAGAGGGCCTCCTCCTCCCAAGTGCTTGGGGAAACCATCCACCCAACTTTTGATTTTGCATGTCTTGACCAATCCCAATCCCAATGCAAACCACAAGTCCAATACAAAACAAACACCTTTAATGTGTTTATTTAGTTGCAATGCATGGTTTGAGAGTGAACGCCCCTCTTTTCAACACCCCACTTTTCTTTTGTTTGGGGGTGGTGCATTCTCAAGGGCCTATCTTTCTAGTTCCCCATTAGAAATATAAATATATATATATTTTTATATATAAATGTCATAGGGATTGGAGTGGTCAAAGTTTGTATATCTTTCCCTCCTTTAGCACATTTCTTTATGGATTTGGATTCCAATCTCTTTCAACCAAATTTTAATTGAAAGGGAAAGCTTGTTAGGTTACAGTCAGCAACCATTTCAGCAATTGCGGCACTTTGTCTCTCTTCTCTGTCTTACTCTCTAAACTCTGAAAATTTATTTATTAATTTACTTGCTTTATTTATCTCTAATTCATTGCAGCCACGTCGGTGGGTTGCCTTCAATTGTTTATAGTCTCTGAGCATCCGACTGCCCAATCTCCGGCATCTCGCTTACTTTTTAATGCTAAATAATACCCCATCTGCCACCCTGCACCACTAGTATTTTATTCAATGCATCCGAAACCTAGATCATAGGTTTCACCCCACACCCACCATACCATAGGATGATTATTTTGTTGCGTTTTATTTTTCTTATAGAAAGAGATTTTGAGGGCGAGGGATTTGATTCGAACACAATATCCAGATAGCCTAGTACGGCTTTTAATATTGAAAAGAGAAGTACGGTTTTTAATATTGAAAAGAGAAGTATTACAAAAATCCGATGCGATGTAACTATTTTCATTAATATTAGTTGAGGGCACCAATTGGTCTTTCTTCAAGTTCAAGTCATTATAATAAAAAAAGATAAATGCCATTTCTCTTGTTTCTTGTTAAGCACTTCAAGGGTGTTGATTGAACATCTTTAATTGAATGATGGTCAAACAAAACGAAAACCATTTTTCTCTTACACGAAACAAAGACAAATGATCTGTCGTTTTAACATGTTTTTGGTGCTAGACGTAATTCAATACAATGATGCAAACATACGGTGGCTGGGCATTTGCAGCTCTTGTTTTTATATGAATATTTTTTTTACGAATTACCAAACAATCAGGATTATATAAAATGCAGCCTCACCATCCAAAGTGGAATCACTATTACCATCTAATAAAAATAAGAATGATTGCTGCTGCATGATTAATTACTTAATAGCAAGTTGCTTAGCCAGATAATGCCTGGGTAATAATAATTAAACCCTCAACCTAAACGCACATCACCATCCCAAAACAATCCCAACAATTACCCACTAAACATGGATCACCATTATCTCCACTCTGCCGAATGGAACTTAGGACAATGGGTAACCGCTTAAATTTTTTAAGTTATTTATTAATTATCATTATCTCCATAATGCAGAATCGAATTTAAGACATCGAGTAACTGCTTGAACTACAAATTCCTTATCAATCAACACCGTAAAAATGACATTTCTACGGTTGAGGCTACTGTTCCTACTGAACGGCAAATTTTGATCGAAACCATAAATAAATTTAAAATAAAAACAAAAATACCCAAGTAAAAATTAAATGAATTTCTCCGTTTGTATTCACTAACAAAATTTGTGTCATTTACAATCGTTTGTTTCTTCTGTTTTTTTTTTCCCCTTCTCAAAAGGGCATGATATGAGTGGTCTTAGTATCATAACAAGAAATAACCGATTTGGAATTGACCCGAAAAATCTTGAGCAAATCGGCCGACATTTGACGAACAGCCGGCGAGCAGTTGCTCTGCATCAACAGCAAGATCTTGGTCAACCCATTCGCCTTGGCAACCGCCTCCTGCGCGGCCCGTTCCTTGAACAAATAGCACACGCTCCACAGTATCGTCACCGCGTGCTCCATCGCCGCACCCGATACTTTCAGTAGCCTCTGCACGATTCCCGCCACGCACTTCCCGTCCTCACATATCTTCGCCCTCCCTTCCTTCACCGACGACGCCATTTCGAGCACCTTGAGAACCTTCTCGATCGTCGACGTCGCCGAGTTCGGGTCCCCCAGCAGCTTCGACAGCCACTTCACGGCTCCCAAATGGACCAGCCTCACCTTCACCCTCCTCGGCGTCGACACCGCGATTAGGCACGAAAGACCCGCCTCGATCAGGGTCGGGTCCTTTTCCGGACCCGTCAATTTCAGCAATTCGGACAGCAGGCCGTCTTTCTCGGCAATTAGGAACTTGGCCTCAGCGTTGACCGCGATTGACTCCAAAATCCTAGCCGATGCGATTCGAGCGTCCGCACTTCCTTGTTGAAGGACGACGAGCAGCGACGCCAGGCAGTCGCGGCCGGTCTTCTTTAACATCCATCTCATGAGCTCCTCGCGCTCTTGGATTTCGTCGTCCAGCAACAAATGGATGATCGTCACTGCTTGCTCCAGGACGCCGATTTGAGCGCCGTCCACGGCATTGTCACCGCCGCCGATAAAGTCGAACCGCACAAGCACAGAGCCTTCGACAGCGAGTCAAGCGAGGAGGCGGAGGAGGGCTCGGAGTCCATGCACTGGATTAGGTCGCTGACCTGGTCCCTAGCCGGTAACTCGGAAGGGGAAGAAGGCGAGTCGGTGTCGACTGAGTCGACCCGGTGGGGGCGGAGCGAGTCGGACCAGATCTGGATGAGGCGGTGCAAGGTGCGATTGGGGACAAAGTCTTTGGTGTGGAGGACTTGCATGGTGGCGGGACACGTGTTGTTGCCGTCGTCGAGCCAGCGCTGGATGCTGGTGCGATCGTAGGTGACGCCGGTGCAGAGGCTCACAGGGGATTTCATGACTTCGAGGGAAATTGGGCACCGGAAGAAACTAGGCACCGCGATGTACAGGTCGTCCCTCACCATCTTCTCTGTGTCTGTGAATTCGGGTGGAGGGAGAGAATGGAAAAAGGGGAGAGAGAGAGGGAGAGAGAGAGAGAAATCGGAGAAAGAATGGAGAAGACAAAGAGGAGCTGTGCGTTTAAAGAAGACAAAACAGAGAAAAGAAAAAAAAGAGAGTAAAAAGAGTCAAAGGTACGCTGACGTCACCATTTTACTTTTTCTCTGATTTCATATTTATTTAATTTTAAAAAATATTCTCTCTCCTCCCTCTTTGGTCTCTGGTCAAATGAGGGGCTATTATTTATTCAGAGTTCAGTTCGCGGGGGTGTTTGTCTGTATGGCACTGTGTTTGAGTAATGGGATCTCAACCCTTGGATGAAGGGGGTTAGGGTCGTGGGAGTGAATGAAGGGCTGGGATTAAATGGAGTACACGTGGGATGGAGTGGATTTGAACTTTTGAACGAAAAAAGCGTATAATGGGGAGGAGAACGTGGGGTGGGGAAGTGGGGACCACGCAGCAATGAGCATTGAGGTGGTGGTGGCCCAGCGAGGGGTTCCCTTGGTCGGTTTTAATGGATATTACATCATTTGTACGTTGAGAAATGACTTTGGATTTGCGGAGGGAGGGGGGGAATTTATATTGATTTATTTATTTATGATGGGCTTTTATTTCTTGAGATTTACGGCGTAGGGTAGCAGCATTACTTATTACAACTTAACAGGGAAACACGGGGCAAGTAGGGTGACCCGATATTCCTTCTTTTGCTTGCTTTATGATCCTTCTTCCACTCCAATATTCGTCTTCTACTTCTCCTTTTAATCATTTTTATTTCTCCAAAAGAAATACCAAATAAAATTCTTATGTCCAAAGAAACAACTGCCAATCCGTAGCATACAACTCACAAGGATTCGTCACCATGTTTCTTCTCGAAACTTATGTTGTTGTAAATAGAGTTTTGGAATTTGCTGAACAAGGAAAGGATGATTCACAGCTTCTATTTCAATTTGTCCTTGAACACTAATTTATATGTGAGAGGACGAAGAGGATGAAATCCAACGAAGCTGAGAGTTGCGTAAGGGGCTAGGGTCTGCAACTTTTAGGCTTAGAGAAGGAGCTGGGGTCAGAAATCGGGTAGATTTTTTTATAATTTTTTTATTATTTAATACAATTTTTTTTGGGATTGGTTAGTGGGTGGCCCCACAATGCACACATAATCAATTAATGCATGACCAACAGTCAATTTAACGAAATGCTTAAATTGGTCAAATTTGAAAATAATGGAATGTAAATTGATGAATTGAAACTCGGAGGCTCATATTGAAAATTGCCTCAAATCTTTAGGAGGCCTTTTTGACATTAGCCAAATTTTTTTTTTTATAAAACTCAGTATTAAAAAAAAAAAAAAACCCAATTGGCACTTAAATAACATGTGCATAAACATGGTGATGAGAAGTCCTTTTAAATTTTTTTTAATTAAAATAATAAGCAATGACTATTATCGATGAACAAACAAAAATATAAAGCAACTATGTGCTGAATATGGATAAATCTTCTTTAAAATGTATTGATTTGGAGAGAATCATGTACAACTTAAAAATGAGTGAAATCCTGATTCAACAACTAGATGGACATGTACTCAAACATGCAATACAGATCCGTGGTGCAACGGCAAAAACAAAAAATTTGTATCGAAAGCTGAAAGCTAACAAGAAATAAAACATCCAAAATAGAAAACAAAACACAGCAAACTCCAAAAGAGTTACTGAAAATTATTAGACTAAAACAAACTAAGAAGCAGGATCACCGCTCCACATTCTCCCAGGAAACCCGAAGAGAGCCATAAGTGCCATCTCGGCTAAATCCAAAATGCTACATTGGCTACACCCGAACCTGACACAACCCGAGATCTTCTCCTCTTTGCAACTCACAAACTATTCCAAAGGCTGACAACTAAAGCCAACTCCTTGTGTATGTGGGCCAAAAGACAGCGACTATACCATGACAACGACATCGTGACATAGATGTTGCTTCCACATTACCCAAAAAAAAAAAAAAAATCACTAATAAATGAGGAGAGGGGAGAGGGGGTACAGAGGGAGGCCACTAACCCCTAAAGAGGGCGATAGCTGGGACTTTTTTTCCTTAGGGTTTTCTTAGAGAGCTCTTCCACATCGCCTATAATTGGGTCATGTTATATTTACTAATTCATGTGTTATATGATGAGAATTCTATTGCAGTGTAGGTCTTGTAAGTAGGGATAGCTTTGGATTGAACTAATATATACCCTAAATTAAACCTTAATTTAAAATCCTATTTAAAGCCCAAGTTAGCCCCAAATTAAATCCTAAGTTGCAACTTAAAAGAAACAGACAAAATATGAATAACAGATTATCAAATAATTAAGGAAAAAAAAGAAGAGAAAAAGAAGCAAGACACATGAGAATAAGGATGAAGGGGAATAGCGAAAGAATAAAAAGCACCAGAAAAGTTTGAAAAGGTTGGGATTGGGCCGGGATAATCCTGAACTAAAGGAATGTTAACCAAAAGAGTGATGATAATTTTTGAAATATTTGATGGATTTTTGTGACATAAAGCATTTGTTACCTTTCATTCATAGCTATAGATTCATGGGTTATCATGAATGTAACCATCAAATCATAGCATTTAAGATCATTATCCAACGGAATCATCTTGAGCAAGGTTCATAATCGTAGACATGTACACATTATACTGTGTGAATGATGTAGTAGCAGGTCTCGCTAATTTAATTAAAATTTAATTTAGTTTCTATAATCTGGGTGAATGATGAAATTGTACATTGATAATTTTTTACTTGACCTTTATTACTTTAACCTACGTTGATAATAAATTATTTTATTATGCATCTTGCTTCTAGGGTCTCAAGATCGGACTTGAATCGGACAAGGAAATTTGGGTATAAATTCATTCTAAAGTAACTACCAACTACACTGATTTTGCATTAAAATTCCAAAGCGTATCATCAAAATTTGTTGACTACAAAGGCATTTCGAGTGATTGATTTCTCTCATGACATGTTTACTTATGAGAAATGTGTATGATAATTATTCAAATTTATACTTTTCTTGTATTTACACGGCCATTTTTCATGAGTTTGGATTGCAAATTTTTATTTTTTGTTTTCTAAAACCGAGTACGTATTATTAGAGAATATTGAGGGAGCTGGGCAGAAGGTATGTATGCAGTGCAGCTGCTTCCTAGGTCCTGACGAATGATTATATGTTGAAGAAAGCAATAATAATCATAATAATAAGCATGATGGCACCGAAAGCATCACTACTCAGTAACACAGTTTCTCGTAAAACACTTTCACTCGGCATTTGCTTAGATAATGGCAAAGCTTTCATCATCTCTATCCACTAACTGGTTTCATTTATGGTAAAAAAAAAGTAAAATGGACTTTCCTATCTCCATTTATCTTCTTTTGAGGGACTACAGTAAAACTATACACGGCTAGCATAATAAGTTGTCAGACTGCTGACAGTGGTGCAGTTAGGAATTTATTTGTGGAGGGGCCAATATATTAAGGTTTAAGATTGGTTTCTTTCTCAGTGTCAAGCTTGTCAATAGCAATCATACATGCAATTTCAGCAGCTTGAGCATTTTTTAATTCATCTGTATGCTTGCATGAAGTATCAACAATATTAGTGAAAAAATGGTGGACATGAATAACTTCTCTTGATAATGCAACTGAAGCCAAATGTAATTAATGTGCTAAACAATAAACATAGTAAGTATATGTACAAATCAAAGCTTGTAAATAAATAAATAAATAACTGATTATCTTTGATTTCTTATTTTCTTAAATATACTTATGAAAGAAAGATTTGATTGACTATTTTTTTTTTTTTTTATTAATTATGTTGGTGGGGTCCAGGAGTAACTTAGCTATTTTGCTAAGGAAATCGCCTTTTAGTTGGAGGGGGAAACGTAAATCCCTCCTTCTCTTTATTGTGGAGGGTCCTTTGGCACACGCTCAAGCATGTGTAAATTAGTTTTTTATTTTTAATTTATTTTTAGAATTAAGAAAAGATAATATGGGTAGTTATGTTCTATAAAAATAGAAAATATTAACTGATTTTATTTTTATTTTTAATTTTTTTAATATGAAAAAAATGTAAATTTACAATACTATCCTCATTTAATTAATAATTTTAATTTTTAATGTTTGAATTAACCAATGACATTTTATGGTATTTTGAATGTTTCATCATTCTCTACATTTTGCTTTATATATACTAGCCTCTCTACATTCGCTTCCGCGCCCGTGAGAGGCCTTTTTTAAAAGAATTTAATTTTTTTAGAATTAAAAAGATAATGGGTAGTTGTGTTCCGTAAAAATAGGATCCATTATCTGATTTTTCTTTTAATTTTAATTTTTTTTAAGGTGTGAATTTACCATATTATCCTCATTTAATTAATTTTAATTTTTAATGTTTGCATTAACCAGTGACATTTTTTGGTATTTTGAATGTTTTACCATTCTCTGCCTTTTGCTTTATATATATATATATATTATCCTAAGTTTGTCCTATACAAACCCCAATATATAATAGTATTTTTAGAATTTTGGGAGGGCCAAGGCCCCTGCAAGCCTAAGCACACATCTGCCACTGACTGCTGATATTTGTTTGAGAGTACTTCTGAAAAGGTTAAAAGCGGGTTGTGATAATAAAAATTACTTTTAATAGCGTTTGACACTGCTTTTAAAGGCACTTTTTCAAAAACCACTTCCAAGTAGTCTTTGAACAAACACTTCTTTACAAAAGACAAGCCCTAAAAAAAACACTTATCAACCCAAGTGCTTCCTACATAAATATTCCCAATTGAACTAATTTTCTTGTAATAAAACTTTTTGTTATCTCTTCGGAAAAAAAAAATATGTGGTAAAAATAAAGTGGTGTAATCGAAAATTAAGTTGAAAAAAGAAGAAGAAGAAAGTGGATAAAAGGATATGACTATGGGGTTTTGTAGTCAATAGTCAAAGTACGTGGATTTGCATGAGAAAGACGTGCTTGGGATTGCAACCAAATGCTGCACAGGCGTAAGCAATTGACTAATACACACACACACACGCATATATATACCTAACAAACAAACACTTTGTG